AGATACATTTGTAAATTCAGTATTTGTTGCAAACATGATTACTTTCTTATGGGATCTTTTTTTAAAAAAAAAAGTTAGTAAGTACTGAGGCAAATATTATGTTAAAAGGGGCATATTGCCAATAAGAATCCTTATAGCTTTTTAAAAGCCAGATATATTTTCACAGTATCTTTCAAGGGTGCTTTAAGCTTTTAATTAGTTAAATCAAAAGATTACTCACTCTATTCTGAAGCAGCTGAGCAATTTTTAATTGGTTGGGCTGCAGACAGGGGTGTTCTGTTTTGGGGTTCTCGCCTTCCTCACTTCCTCACAATGGTAAGACAAAAAGATTGACAATCTGAGCTGAGGACTGGAAGGTGAAGGATTTTTTTTCACTCCTTCTGTCAGTACACCGTTGATTTCAAAGTTTCCTTTCCACCACCTTTTTACTCTCAGCAAAGGAAATTTCCCATTTTTTTTTTTTTTAAAAAAAGGTAAATCCTCCATGTTGGGAAAACTGGAACAAAGCAACTCTATTTGTGGAAAATGGAATTATTTCAAAAATATTTTTTTCCCACAAGATCATGATGATGGTGGTGGTGGTGATGATGATGATATTTTTAAAAAGTAAGGAGGGAGCTGCTTATTATAGCTAGTTTTAACTGAAAGGCAGTTTTTGTTTTTTTAACAAACTACCCTGTTTATCCCTTTTTAGTCTAGTTTTATTTATTCTGTTTGGTCTTGCAAAGGCTTTAAAAATGTCATTATCTAATGTTCTCCATGTGAAAACTAGGGCTGAGCATTCTGCATCAAAGGTCCACTCCAATGCCCTTGTAACAGCATGTCTCATCATGCTTTGCTCAGGAAATGGCCCATCCTGTCATAGATCAGTGGGGGAGGAGAAGGAACAGCTCCAGGGGATGGTTCAAGAAAAACACAACTCTGTCTCCTAATATTATATAGCACAGAAAAACATAAACCCTTAATGGCACCTATAACTTTTTTTTTTATTGGAGTGGACCTAAATTTGCAGGAAAATTATGTTGTAATGCATTGTGGTATACCAAATTTTACAGAAATTTTTGCAAGGATTTTCAAGTTACATTCCATTAAATATTCCTTTACATTTCCACGTAAACTGTTTGTTTTGAAATCAAATGTAATAAAACTGCCTATGAATGGTTCATAAAGTGAGGGAGAAAGTTCAATAGTGTTGGTAATCAATAACCATGCCCTTCTTAAATATAGCAGAGCTGATTTTCATGTGTTCAGGATTGAGAGAGATGTAAGAGATCAATTTACTGAACTTTTCAATAAAAGAATAGTCATTAAGCTACTTAGCTAAATAAAGTTCCATAAAATATCATTAAGTGTCTGCTAAGGATTATAATGAACTAGAGCAAATGGTAAAATTAAGGACCCTGTTCCCAAAGCCTCTCTGTTCCTTCAAACATTCCATAAGATGGTTCATTTGTGGTGGCCTGATTTTTGCCCTGATTTGAAGAGAAATTTTCAGTCTCTGAATCTAATACTGGTGTTTGTAATTGTAATAATTTTTCAATATAAATCCATTGACATATTTAGATGATGAGGAGAACCTACTTCTAAACTATATGACCTAGAAATACTCTCAGTTTTTCCCTCTTTTATATGGCAAAAGCACATTAAAAAGTAGTTCTTAAACTAATGCAGGACTTTTAGAGATTCCTCCTTAGCAACCCTTTTTGGACTGACTCTGTGACTACACATGTCCCCAATTACATGGTTGTCCAATAAGTGCTACAAAGAAGAATCAGCCTTTAGTCCCAATGGTGCTTTTTTTTTCAAGAGGCAACTGGACTTTCGAATAGAATAGAATAGAATAGAATAGAATAGAATAGAATAGAATAGAATAGAATAGAATAGAATAGAATAGAATAGAATAGAATAGAGCTGGAAGGGACCTTGGAGGTCTTCTAGTCCAGTTCCCTGATCAAGCAGGAGAACCTATACCATCTCAGACAGGTGATCGTCTACTCTCTTCTTAAAAATCTCCAGTGATGGAGTGACCACGATTTCTGAAGGCAAGCTGTTCCACTGGTTAATTGTCCTCACTGTTAGGAACTTTCTTCTTAATTCCAGGTTGCTTTTCTCTTTGATCAGTTTCCAACCATTCTTTCTTGTCCTGCCCTCTGGTGCTTTGAAGAATAATTCGACCCCCTCTTCTTTGTGGCAGCCTCTCAAATACTGGAATACTGCTATCATGTTACCCCTATTTCTTCTTTTCTTTAGACTAGCCAAACCCAAGTCCTGCAGCTGTTCTTCATATGTTTTAATCTCCAGGCCTTGGATCATCTTAGTTGCTCTTCTCTGAACTTTTTCCAAGGTCTCAACATCTTTTTGGTAGTATGATGAGCAAAATTGGTTTTTCTTTTCAGACATTTCACTTCTCATCCAAGAAGTTGCTTCAGCTCTGACTGGATGGTGAAGAATGGAAGGATTTATATTCCTTGCAGACAGCTGGTCATTTTCATTCTTTTAGAGTGTCATTGAGGCTACTTGGAAGTTTATCTATGTCTTCAGGGTCACCTGAATAGTGCAAGTGGTTGTGGAGCCTTCCTGGAACTGCTGAAAGGACTATGTTGTAGACTGGAGATAGATGATGTCATATCCTTCCCCCTCTGTTGAGAGAGGGATGTTCAATTTTGACATAGATGGCCTCTTTGACCCCTTTCAAACTAGCTGCCCTTTTTGTCCAAAATGTGGACTTTGCTGTCTTCAAAAGAATGGCTTTTATCTTTTAAATGCAGGTGGAGTGCTGAATCTTGTCCTGATGGGTATGTTCTCCTATGTTGTCCCATGCATTTATGAAGTGGTTGTTTTGTTTGCCCAACGTACAGATCTGCACATGGCTCACTACATTATACTGCATATACCACATTGCTCAGTTTGTGTCTGGGTGTTTTATCTTTGGGGTGGACAAACTTCTGCCTTAGTGTGTTTTAGGATTTAAAGTGTGCACATATGTTGTGTTGACTGAAGATCCTCCTGAGCTTTTCAGATATTCTTGCAAAGTATGGAATGACAACATTGCTTTGTTTATTGTTCTCTTCTTTATCTGTTATGGAGGAGCTCCTGGTGGATCTTTTTTTGGGATTTGATAAAGGCCCACTTGGGATAGCCACATGTTCTGTAGGCTTCCTTGATGTGTTTTAGTTTTTTTTCTTTCCCATCTTTGCTGGTAGGCAGGCCTTCAGGGTTCTGATAATTCGCATTTTGTGCTCCAGTGGGGGGGGGGGGCGTGAGAATCAAAATGAAAATATTGATCTGTGTGTATGGGTTTTCTGTAAACTTCAGTGTTAAGGCTTCTGTCTTCCTTAATGTGTACTGCACAAGTCCAGGCAGGCTAGATTATTTTCATTAACATCTTCCAGAGTGAATTTGATGTATCTGTCCACAGAGTTGATATGTTTGGTAGATGCTTCCAATTCCTGTGTTTTGATCTTGACCCAAATATCGTCCACATACCTATACTAGTGAATGAGTAGAATTCCTGTGAAGGAGTTTAGGGCTTTGGTTTCTACCTCTTCCCTGTAGAGATTGGCCAGAATGGGGGACACAGGTGAACCCATGGTGCAGCTGTGTTTTTGTCTGTAGAAACCCTCATTGTATTTAAAATAGTGGTCAGGCAGAGATCTAGCATGGCACATATGTGGTCTGGGTGTGGTTGGTTCTATCACCTAAGGTGCTGTCTTGTAGCAGTCATTTTTTCACTACTGTGATAGCTTCAGTTGTTGGAATGCAAGTGAAGAGGGAAGTCACATCATAGGAAACCATAGTCTCATCCAGGTCCAGTTTTAGTTTCCAAACCTTGCTGGTGAAGTCCTTGTTGATGTGATGGATGGTGTTTCCAACTAGAGGAGCTAATAAGGTAGTTAGATGTTTTGCAATGTTGTAGTTCAGCAGCCCCCAACCTTTTGGGCACCAGGGACCGGTTCTGTGGAGAGAGATTTTTCCAACCGGAACAGAGGGGGGCATGCTTTTGTGTGCTGCCTGCATCCTGCAGATGCATTTCACTTGTTTACACAAAGTAGACCGATTTCTGGCACTCTGTGGACCAGTACTAGTCCACTGACCGGGGGTTGTGGATCCCTGTTCTAAGTATAGTATAAAAATATTCAAATAGCAATTAGCTAATGGGTGGGGGATGGAGGGGAGAGAAAAAAAGGAAGCTACCAAAACCCCCATTTTATTTCTTTTTTTCATCTTTCTTTTAGTTTTTAAAAGTATTTTTATAACCATCATTTATATATGCATTGTTTCCTTTTCTCCCTTTTGCTGTTTTGGTTTGCATGTTTTACTTAATTTTTTTTTTAAAAAAATAGATGTTAAAAATGCCAAAAAACCAGAATGGATTTTGGATTACATCTTTTTTCAACATGAAATTCTATTTCAGAAATGACTTCATTGCATTTCTACAGAAAAAAAAATCTGAATAGATGATTATGTAGCTGAATATGTAGTGAAATCAATCATTTATTTAAATATATGTTTCTACAATGTCCAACAATTGTTCCATTTGGGAAAGATGCTATTAAATGCATTAGCTCGGTTTTGAGGTTTAATATTATCAGATGTTCATATTCTTTTGAGGAGTATTCCTATCACATGGGTGCTGACATCTGGACAAAGAAACTAGATTTTCTATACTTTTCTTACTATCAAAAGACTTATTGTTTAGCATTAGAAAGACACACATGTGGCTCCAACTATTCATTAAGTTGCAGAATAGATGTTACTAGCAATTTACAAACTAATAAGTTATTAAAATCAATAAGTTATGGGTGATTAAACAAAGTATGACTTCATACAATTAAATATTTTCTGTACTCTACAATTTTATGTAGGTATCTATGTCAGTATCTGAATATATGTCCTACATGCATTTGTTTCATTTTTGGCATGTTTTCCTTCTTTTATAATGTTATTTTCATTAAAGTTAATTATAATTCACTAAAAAAATCAATGTATCAGGAAATAAAGCTAAAGAAAGAGAGAATCCCACAAACTGACGCAGGCATTGTGCTTTTATATATACCTGCCATTGTTTTTTTATTAGGAACCACAACCCTCACCTGCTTTGGCATTCTGGAAGCTCATATATGTATAATATGAACAAAGTGATCACTCCCTGAATAGTTCCATCTGTTCCTTATGTGGCTTGTTCCAAAGTCTGGAAAGAGATAGAAAATTATTTCATTAGTCTCCAAATGTTGTGCATATCAAAAGCCCAATTATACCTTTGCTAATATAACATTAACTATACAATGACTACCTTTGCTTGTAGCAGCCAGCCCCTCCTTCTTCCCAGCTATCAGAGAGATGAATGGAATGGTTCATGTATTAGAAACATGAAGAGAATTACTTGTGCTTTTCATCAGAAACTCATGCAGGGCTATTCAATGTGATGACATCATATTATAAAAGGAAAACTATCATAGCAAAGAAAAGCCCTTTTGGTAAGAAGTCATCATTCTAGCAGGAGATAAGCGTGCACATGATTCAGAAGTGTTAATGAAATTTACTGAACTACAATTTGCTTTTAAATTAATTCTTAAGTCAGAAATAGCTTCATTTTGATACAGAAAATCCATCCTTCCAGAGTTAGGCAAGTGAAGCAGTGTTTTATGTTTCCTTTGGCACATTCTGGAGAATATATTTCTAAAATGTGCAGACATTTCTACATTTGCAAATTAAATATGGCGGAAAGAGAAATAGCATTCCTTGGCCAACATAACCAGTGAAAAACTAATTCCATCAATTGGTGGAAAAGAACAATCAATCAAGTGAATTCCATTAAGCCATTGCTGCTACAAAGACGCCCACATTTTTGTACTTGCACTGATTTTCCCTGAGCCAAACCTCTTCCATAATTGAAGAACATAGAGAAAAAGGCAACATACATCTAGTACATGAATGTCAAGCTTTTTAGCATTTCAAAGGCTAATGCCACCATGACATTTCTACAAATACAAAGGTAGACCCAAGAACAGATGTTATTAACCCTCAATTTCAGTTCCAATCAGCTTTATTGGCATCGCTCTTAACTAGCTGAAGCTCCTCAAAGCTTTCAGCAGATTTCTTCTAAAACCAGCTACCACAGATAGGGATGCAGATATTTACATGTGGAACTTCCCATGCGCCAAGGATGTGCTGCTATACCACTTAGCTAGATTGCAGATGTTTTTGATGTACAGATAGCTCTGGTAGAGAAATAAGTTACTCGTGCAGAATTACATAGGTTCTGGTTTGGCATCTTTGGATGGCACCACCACCACCACGCACAAAAAGCTTCCAAAGAAGTCCTAGGTCTCTGGCCACAGTTTGAAAACAGCCAACATGTGAATGTAAAATGTATGAATAATCTAAAGTAATATTAATGTGAATGACATGAAGAAAGTAATTCGTTTACTTTGGTTTTTTTTTTTAAAAAAAAGAGGTTTTTGTTCTGATGTTATTATCTGATTTTTTAAAAACCTCTTGTCTTTTTTCTCTGAGTGAGGACACTTAATTTCAGCTGTGGATTTTAATTGCTTGCGAACATTATCATCCTTGAATGCTCAAAAAGGAATGGCCAGGCTGACTTTTATTACCCAAATAAGAAATGAAGAAGCTGAACTCATTTATATGCTACTGGTGTGCAATGAAGCAATTGCTTTCTGCCGAGGTTTTTATGAAGAGGTGGAGGGCGAACTGCCTTTCTGCCTGAGCACCCAACGGAGAAGAAATCTATTGTGCTGCCTCTCTCAGTGCCTGCCTGCAGAAAGAGACTCAGGATGAAGGTTCAAATTTAGCATGATGTCATCTTGCGATATATTCTCCTGCTTGAAACACAGAGGGCTTCTTCTAAAGCAGTTTACCCTTTCAGAATGTCCATGGAGTTCAAGGGTTCAAGAGCTTTTTTTTTCATTCCCTTTTCTTTTTTATTACTGTCATGTCATTAAGTTTCCATCCATCTAATCTTTTCCTTCACCAAATGGACTGGGCTTTTAAAAACAGAGATTATAACAAACCATTAATTAAACACTATGTAAATCCACAAGCTTTCCTGAGATGAATGGGAAGAGTAGAGCAAGGGAAATTTTTCTTCCTACTTCATAATAGCTACTAGAACATACAGAGTGGCCCAAAGGAGCTTCTAGACAGTAGGCTTAGCATTTAACAAAAGAAAGCACAATGCAGTGCATAACTGACTTCAAGAATGCACTGCCACAAAGATGTGGGTGATGGCCATTAATTTAGGTACATTCTGAAAGGAATCAATCTTTGCATGGAAAACCTATCATAGTATTATTTCTACATAGAAAGCTAAGAGTTTGGACTTGGGTCCATCTCTGTACAAAAATTGCTGCATAATCTTTGACTAGCCCATTTGGGCTTTAAACTTGGCTTTAAAAGTCAGTGTGTGCTTGTGTCAGTGTGTGGGGGATAGAGAGAAAGAGAGAGAATTTGTGTATGTGTATGTGTACAGATTTCTCCCCAAAATTTTTTTTGCATTTCTAGCACTTGTTTGAGCATAATTCTATTATTCATGTTGGTATGTTTAACATATTTTTGTTTTTTTAATAACTGAGAATTGGACACCTAGAGGAGGCCTCCCCGGTTCAGAATAGAGTTCAGAAAGTGGCATCCACACATTTCCAGAGGTCCATTCTGAGCCTGGGAGGCCTCCCCGGCTCAGAATGGACTTCCGGAAGTGACTCCAATGCACTTCTGACGACCCGTTCTGGGCCTTGCAAAAAAGGGCTAGGGCATCAGCTAGTTCAATGAAGTCAACAAAACATTAGCTACTGGTTCTACTGAACCGGTGCAAACTGGCTGAATCCTACCACTGGATGGGACCCAGAAAAAGGGCCTTCTCCGTGGTGGCTCCCTCCCTCTGGAACATCATCCCTCTGGAAATTATATTCGCCCCCCACTCTAACTCTGTTTTGGAAGATCCTGAAGATATTCTGTCAGCAGGCCTGGGGAACCCAGAGTTTGATGCAGCCCATTAAATGGCTGGTATGAATGTGAGTTGTCACTGTGCTGGGGGGTGGGGATTTATTATTTTTATTTTTTATTATTTTTATTTTTTTTATATTGTGCTTTTATGTCCTGTAAGCAATGTTGAGTCACCATGTGCGAGTAGGCAGCAATATAAATTTTCTAAATTGAATGAATCAATGAAACATCCACAACTTCTGAATGCGAGCCGTTCCACTGATTCATTGTTCTCACTGTTAGGAAATTTCTCCTTAGTTCTAGGTTGCTTCTCTCGATTAGTTTCCATCTGATGTTTCTTGTCTTGCCTTCTGGTGCTTTATAAAATAAGTTGACCCCTTCTTCTTTGTGACAGCCCCTCAAATATTGGAACACTGCTATCATGTCACCCCTAGTCCTTCTTTTCACTAGACTAGACAAATCCAATTCCTGCAACTGTTCTTCATATGTTTTAGTCTCCAGGCCCTTATTCATCTTAGTTGCTCTTCTCTACACTCTTTCTAAAGTGTCCATATCATTTTTTTAATGGGGTGACCAAAACTGGATGCAGTATTCCAGGTGTAGTCTTACTAAAGTTTTATAAAGTGATATTAATACTTCACATGATCTTGACTCTATCCTTCTGTTTATGCAACCTAGGATTGCATTAGCTGTTTTGGCTGCTGCCATACACTGCTGCCTCACATTTAAGTAATTGACCATTAGGACTCCAAGATCCTTCTCATAGTATACTGCTTTTGAGCCAGGTTTCAGTTAATCTGTACTTGTACATTTGGTTTTCCTGCTTAAGTGTAAAACCTTATTTTTCTCTACATTAAATTTTATTTTGTTGGATAGGGCTGTTTATGAATAAATTAAACGAAATGGCAAAGATCTGATTATATTATTTACACTCATAACCTGATCTTGAAGCTTTGTTGCAAAATGATGAAGCATCTAAGGCTACACATGTCTGAAAAGATTAGCCCTGTGTTTTAAGTATGATCAGTATGTCCTTTGCAAATATTCTGACAGATAGCATAGTATTGCTCATAGAATTAGGCTAGGACTGGAAAGACATTGATACAAATCTTTGCTACTCTATCAAAGATCTTTATGTAATTGCAACTCAATTGTTATATCTCAGACTAATCTACCAACTGAGAAAATACTACATGAGAAGAAAAGTGGAATCTTATTCATTATTGTAGAGGAATAGTGCAATAAAAATGCATCAATAATGCAAATGATTCCAGAGGAAAAAGCCACTTCCAGGAATGACAAGTGGAAGTGCAGTTTCTCCGTTGCAAAACAAGTTATCTCAATAGCAAAGGATATTCTTATAAAACTATAATCCCAAAATACGGCTTCCAGACTATTTCCACTCAAATTTAATTATAGGGCTATCAATTCTTCTAAGGATGCTCAGTTTCTTCAATCCCTATTTTTCACAGGGTTGGGAATTTAATTTTACACAGTCCAAAACATTTTAGAGTCTCTTCAGCATGCATATTAAACCTTTAGTGAACATTATTTTTACTGGCCTAGTAAAAGACTCCAGCTGTCCTAGTCCTGAGAAATACGCAGCCCTCAAATCCTTTCTTGCCGTGAGTAATCAAATGCAACAGTATTAAATTAAAAGGTGTGCCGAGCCTCCCTCTAGAGTTTAGCTTGGTTAATAGAGAAGAGGGTCAGACTGCATTCTGGACGTGTGCCAAGATCACATATGTTTCTCCTTTGTGGCCATGTTGTCACTATTGCACTGATATCTATCAACCTGAAAGCCAGACAACATAAAATGAAAATGTGCTTCAAACACAGATTTAACAGTTATTTTCAGAGGGAAGAAAGGAAAAGAGTCTCAGATTAGTTTCTTGATTGTTCTAAGTATTTCTTTGGCGTTTGAGACTTTGGCCTAGGGTGGGAAGATCTTTTCCCAAAATGTCAGCTTTTAGATATATTTAAGGTAAAATTGTACAGTTAAGGTCTCCCTGCTTATGGAAATCTGTTCAATGCAGCAGAAATTCTGTTAGTAAAATAGGGTGGAAAACAATTATTTTGTTAATTCCTCCTTCCCACTATGTAGCTGTTTCCTTCTGTCCAGCTTCTGCTGGTCCACAAATTGCTGTCTATCGGTAGAAAGGCAATACCTATTCTACACCTACCTATAAAGATAATATAATACAAATAAAAATGTATAAGCAGAAGAAC